GAAGCTGCTGCAAAGGGAGGGGAGGATTGCACCAGCCAAAATCTGCCTGCGGAGCTTTTATTGCTTGGAGAACTGTTTACATCCCTACGAAGTGTTGCCTTGCAGGGCAAAGTACATCCACACTGGGAATGCTTTGCCGACGAAGCAATCTATAGTGTCCGGGGCAGGTAAAGATGCATGGAGCTGGGGAAGAGCTGCTGCCTCCTGCCCGCTCCCAGCTCTGCCCCGGCACTCGCTGCCCGCTGCCGTGTCCCCCCAGCACCACCCACACCAACATGGAGATGCCACAAACTGTCCCACTGCACGCTGAGATGCCACCTCGCAGACGCCCTTGAAGAGGAGCTAGGAGGTCCCTCCAGCTGTCCCCTCTCAACGTGGCCGTCCCCTCTCAACCCACAGCCCCTGGATAATCTGGATGGGTTTGTCCAAAGCAGAGACGGCTGGTGCAGGGTGCTCAGCCCACAGCTCTCAAGGGCTGGGCAAATGCACCAACACTTTCCAGCCCCTGGCACTGCCAGGGGAAGGTGTTCCTGTGGTCACAGAGAGACCTTCACTCACCGTCACAGCGTGGGAGCAGAGGGCTTTGGGCTAGAAACGCAGCTCTGGGTCCGGCTCAGCACTGCTGCTCATGCAGCAGTGGTGAGCTGGAGAGGCAAGAAGAGGTTCACGGTGATCACAACCCTTTATATTTCCTTGGCCTGACATACTAATGCTGTCCCAAGTACAAAGATAGCAAGGAAGAAATGACTGTGATATCTTAACAGCAGGCAGCCTAGGAGGGAAAAGCCTCCAGTTAGGCAGGACTCCTAATCAGCTGCGGCCGCAGGTTCAGGCTTGGCCAAAACAAAACAAAATCTGACGCCTTAGAGGGATAAATAATTTTTCCTCCTGACTGCACGTCATAACTCCTCTAAAGGCAGCTCGAGCGGTGGTTATCAGCGCTGGGTGCAGCCGGGTCCGGCTCAGCCGTGCCATGGACAACCAGACTTTGGAGCCACATTTCAGGCTCACCAGCCCTGCACACACCCTGCCCACGCCGGGGACGCCCCGGGGACAGCCCGGCCCTGCACAGCACCCCAAAAAGTGCTCGGCTCAGCTTCATAACCACCGGCTGCTTTTCTAAGTTAAAACTGGTACTTTGCAGGCAGGACGTTATGGGCAGCACGGCAGCGGGCGCCTGGTGCTGAGTTTGCTGCCAATATCAGAGACGGAGACGGCATCGAGTGCCACAAGCAAAGCCCTGGCACTCAGGGACAGCCCCGACACTCCGCCACCCTCCCCGCGCTATTTCAGGATGTGGATTTCGGCGTAGGCACTGCTGCAGGGAGGTTTTCCCAGGATCCCATCCACGTTCAAATCCCAGGAAAGGAGTGGAAAACCAAAACAACACAGAAAGTGATCCGAGCATCCCTGAACAAGAGCAGACGTGCAGAGTCCATAAACCCCAACTTTTTTTAAGACACCTAAACTACCTCCAGAAAGACGCCACTGCTCACAGCATCCACTGCCGCTTGGGGATACACAGGCTGGACCGGTGAGCGTTCGAGGGCTCTCACACCCACCGGTGGGCACACAGGCGGGACGGACAGACGTCCCTCTCCTGCTTCGCCCACCTCACGCCAACATCCTTTCAAACTCAAGAAGCCCTCTGAAGCAACTCTGCCTGCCCACACCGGCCGGTTTCAAAGCGAAGCGCTCCCTTCGCAACGCCCCCCTCCTGATGGCCGTGTCCGTCTCACCGGGGCTGGGTTTGAAAACACAACTCATTATACATGAAAATTGCGGTTCCCTGAAAACACCAGGTTGCTGAAGCTACGGCAGCTCCTGCCTTCAAGAGAGGACACGGGAACATTTACCCAACTGCAGGAGCATGGAGAGGAGCCCCCTTGCAACCTCCTCCCCATCCTCCAGGAGCACCAGGGACCTCGGTGCCCACGGCAGGGGCCGGGGGATGCCAGACCACCCAGCACTGCTCCGCTGAGCTCTGTCCTCACCCACCCGCTCCAGTGACCGCAGCTGAACCAGCCGCAGAGCAGACACCATGCCAGAGCAACCCCCCAGCCCCGCACACCACCTCACCTCCATCCCCATGGAAGGGCCAGCCTGGCCGTGCTCTTCCTCTCCCTGGGCAAGGAAAGAGTTAACGTTTATTTACCAGGAGGAAGTAAGCGATAGTCAAAGCTGGCCTGGCAGAAGAGGTAGAATTACCCAATACTGGGTTGATTTAATGGTTTCGCTGGGGCTGTGACACACAGAACTAGAGGTTTCCAAACAACGACCCTGCAGCAACGAAGAGGGACTCTGAGAAACGGGCTCTGCCTCCACACGGACACACAGCATCCATCCGTCTGCTGCCACGGGAAAGAGCCAAGCGTCCACTTCACGTGGAGCTGCAGCGCAGCCACCCCCGGGCTTCATCTCTGGGCTCTTCCCCCAGAGCAGCGCACGCACACGAGCTCTCCTCTCCATCCCCTGCTCCCGCGGTGCCTCCCCAGAGCACCAGGACACGCTGGCACAGCCACGGCTCCTAACTCAGCCAGGGCAGCCCCGTCCCGCAGCCAGGATGGAAGATCTTCTGCATGACTGCTGCTCTCATCCAGCCTGGTCTCTGCCAGGCTTGCGGGGTGGCACCAACCTTTCCAGTTCCTGAAATTAAAAGCATCATCTGCAAAGAAAAGAAAAGAAATCCTTTTATAACATGAACACATTTGGGATAAAGCTGTTCCCACTCAGTGGGGTAGCACCGAAATTGCTCAAACTCACATGTCTGGCAGGGTCCGCACCAGCGCAGAGAGGTTTCTCTTCCTCCCTCCGACAGGAGAATCGCCTTCTCCTAATGCAAAACTCAGTTCTTGTCTTCCTTTAACAAACCCTAAGGGTTTTTCCTCAAGTTTCACTCCTCCCAGTGTTTTACCAGACCAGCACCCGCAAACACAGCTAGCAGATTCAGACAAACAAAAAACACCTCCTTGTCTTCCCCGTGGTTAACAAACGCCCTGAACACAGCAGTGCATCCCAACCCCGACACTCCTTAAACACCCAGGGTACGGTCAGAGAGCATCACAACGTGCCCATCATCAAGGGTTCGGAGCATCTTTGCACGCGTGCAGACGGCGGCATGCATACAGTACACATATGGGTGCATTCTCCCCGGGGAGTCTCTGCTCACGGCCCGAGTGCTGCCACAGAGCCGGGGTGGGCTCCTGCCACGTGTCGTGCACCCCACAACTGGAGCATCGGGGTGAATCCCAGCGGGTGAACCTGCCGCGTGAGCCTGGGGTCCCTGCAGCAGGGCTGGGGGCTCCCCTGTGCCTGCCGGTGCCCGCTCTGCCAGCCCGGTGCTGCCGGCAGCTGCCTTCCCAGGGCCCGCTCGGGTGCTCAGTCCCGCTCCCCTTTCCTCCCCGGCACAGCGCCGAGCAGTGTCCCGTGGGGAGCCCGGGGCTGCTCCGCTGGCAGCCGGGCGTGGAGGACTCGCATCCAGAGACAAATTACATACGGGCTGTGGATGACTCATGCCAAGCCCCTGTTTTCCTCCAGGTTGCGCGGTGGTGGAGGCACGGCCGCTTGCATTTTCTCCTCCAGGCATCCGCGGGAGCAGCCTGCAGCGTTTGGGAAAGACCCGCAGAGGCTCCCGACAGCGACGGAGCCCGTCCTGGTTTGTGTTACCTGTGGGCAGAAATCCTCCTCCCCACAGCACTGACTCTAAGCCACAGCAAATGTCCCTGTAATAGCCCAGGCATCATCAGCTGGAGCGCTGCCTCCAGCTCTGGAGCCCTCAGCATAAGAAAGACACGGACCAGTTGGAGCGGGTCCAGAAGAGGGGCACGAAAATGATCAGGGGGATGGAACACCTCTGCTATGGAGAAAGGCTGAGAGAGTT